ATATTTTCGGGGTCTTAATTAGTAGCAGCAGCACTGTAGTTCCCAAACTTCGCCACAATCACCGCTTGAGAAGCCTTGAGTCTTGCAATCTGCTGCGCATTTCCGGTCACTGAGGCATTTGGACTTGCCAATGCATGTCCTGCGTTTTTCCATCTCTGTTGTGCCCATCTCTGCTCCTAATTATTAGAATAAAAAACATTACTTAATTAACTCATCAAGGATACTTAAGTACATAAATCCATTTATTGTGGTTTTCTAATCCATTTACTAAACCAATTTTCCGTACGATTTCTTCTTTTTATATATATAAAGTAAAAGTGAATACTCACAAGTCACAACAAGATATTCAAATAAATGATGCACTATATATAGCTTCAGCTTTTCTTTAATACTCCACATTATTCGAGTACTTGAATCAAATAATATGTATGGGAAACAAGTACATAAATGATCTGAATTATAAGGTAAAATCCCCGAAATAGGAGTAAAAAAGTTTGAATTTGAAAATGAGCTATAGAACATTGTGATATGTATTTGCTGATTGATTCATACAAAAAATATAAGAATCCCAATTAAATTGTGCCATTGTGGGAAGAGTAACCCAAGTTTTACATGTCCGTTCCACCGCAATATGGTGGCTGAATGTTTAAGGACGTGTTTTGTGTTTGACAGAAACATAACCAAAATTTATGGAATAATTTACATTTATTTGAAACTTTATTATAATTAAAATAATGTCATGCATCTTGAAAATAATTGAGTAGTTATTGACAGAAAATATATACTCCCACCCTCCCATATTTATCTTTTGAAGTACAATTGACACTTAGGTTAAGATAGTGAGTATTCTGTGGTGCAGAGTTGTGCAAATGAGATAAAAATGTGTAAAAATCTAGCTGTAAGAAATGTTGTGAACCAAAAAATCTTTGCCAGAAAGGGAAAAATGAGATAATTTTGAGACGAGCGAAAAAGGAAAGTATGAAGGTAATTCTGGGATAGATGGAGTAACATATATCTAGCTCAATTTATTAAGATAGTTTGGAGCTATATGCAGGTACTTTAAATTCAATTGTTGGAGGGATGAAATATGAAATTCTAATAACTTAGCATATCAATTGCATGTAGTATAGAAGTAAATTTACCAGTCGAAGAAAGGAACGCAATAAAGAGTAACATCATAGCAAAGATCTTAAAGGCTCGTGCCATTACTCTCAACAATATGATTTACAACTTTCGGATTGATTTGTTTCTGCATTTATATATATAATATCTTTGAAACAAAACCTGGACATGCATTAAACTCGATATATATTTATATGTATTTCTCATTGTTCTTTTAAAATTGCGTGTTACATTGCTCCTGTTTTTAAGCATGAAACAGCTCAGGCATGACCCATTGATCCAAAAGAACATGTAAAAAAAACCTCAGCTCAATGGTGTTTAATTAATGCTTGAACGAAAAAACTTAGTTACTAAGTACTACGTATTGATTAATGATATGTTTTAGTATTTAAAAATAAGCTTAAGGATATATTTCAATCAAGTATTGACATATCAGAAAATTGCACATCAGTCTTTGTCAACCAAGCAAACTGGTAACTGAAGTTAAAAGTAAAAATTGTTACAAAATATGCCATAAATGATTAATACAGTAATCAATTTTTCATTTTGCTCGTGTTTTAAATTTTAATAACTTTCATATACTCAATAATAAGGCTAGGGTGCTCACACACAATATTGAACCTCACGAGGTCCACCATTGGTTGCCTTATGGCCGGTTTCTATGAAAAAAAGTAGAAACTCGTACTCTCTTTGTGCCTTAAAATTTTGCCATCTTTGAATTATTTGGAACTATGTTCACCTTCGATCAATTATATATTTTCATAGGAAGTTATTTGTAATACGATAGTATAAAAGTGATATGCATAAAATACCTCTATGGGTTTTGGTTCAAATAAGAACACGGTCTTATGAGAGAAATGAGAACGAATCTGGACCGTTAGATTTGCTTCAAGTGAAATTCAGTGTGCATTAGATGAAACTGTAATGTGCATTAGGTGAAATTGAAATGTGCATCACAAAGGGTACGATAGAGTGGCATTATGTGCAGTTGAATTGTGCATTACGTGAAATTGAAATGTGCACTAGGTGAAACTGAAATGTGCAGAATAAAAAGTACGATGTGATGTTATTTTTGTACTTTTTTTTCACACATATTAGTTTCATCTAATGCACACTTGAGTTTAAATTTTTATTTTGCACATTTCAATATCGTTTAATGCACATTTTAGTTTCACCAAATGCACAATTTGGTTCCACATAATACAATCCAACGGTCCAGATTTGTTCTCATTTTTCTCCTAAGATCTGTTCTTACCGAAACCGCTCCCTACCTCTATGTCTCTATGTATGATATATGTTTGTTACATTACGAGGATGGATTGGTATCATGCTCTAGGGCTTTCAGGCTTAAAAAAGGGATTAGTACCAATACGTATTTAATACCTAACTCGCAAATTGCACCCTATAACTAGCTCTATAAATAATAACATATGTGCGATATTTCAAGTAGCATTTACATCCATATTTATATACGTATAGTAGTAATAAAGTAAAAAAGTTAAATCCTAAAATTTAAGACTAACAATGGCTCGTTCCTTTACGTCGCTTGCCATTATGTTCACCCTACTAGTAATCATTTCTTCTACTGGTACGTTGTAAAACTAATTAATTTACTTTTTCATGACCTTTTTGGTCATGTACATAATTTCTAGATTTTATATATACGTAGTATATAATCTATATTGATAATATGGTACGGTGACTAATAATGTATATATATTTACAATTAAGTGATAATATGAAGGTCATTACGATGTCTAGCCTCTTATTTTTTCATGACCTTTTTGGTCATGTACATAATTTCTAGATTTTATATATACGTAGTATATAATCTATATTGATAATATGGTACGGTGACTAATAATGTATATATATTTACAATTAAGTGATAATATGAAGGTCATTACGATGTCTAGCCTCTTATTATATTATGGAAATTAAATCAGGTGATTAGTGATGTGGATAAAGATGAGAAGAGCCATTTAAGAAATGGAACTCATTTGATTTGGGTTGTTGTATGCAACTCATTTCCTACATGCATGGCTGGTCTCTATGAACATATCATATGGTATATGCAGGGGCGGCCCTGGATATTCGAAGGCCTAGGGGTGAACAATAAAAAAATGGGCCTAATTTTAAAAAAAATTGTAAAACACTTTTCTACCTAAATAAAAATGCAAAATAATAATATTTAAATACCTTTAGAATAAAGAAAATACTTGAATTCGTTAAATTAAACATAGTCGAATAATGTTTTCAAAATAACCGAATAAAAAATTATTTAATGATAAATAACGCCCCGATACAATACACTTGCTAAGGCCGGTGTCATCAACTATAGCGTCATAATCAAGCTTTTCTAAGGCATTATTATGCTCAATACTTAATATAGCTAATCAATTAGTTAAATTTATAAATTTAACTAATTGGACTGCACGTTAGTTCTTCCTTTTTTTCAATTTTGGGCCTTTTGCGTTCTTGGGCTTCCTGAACTTGTACAAAATTATTAATTTTGGGTTAAAACTCAGCCTACTCAAATATACTATAAAGAAATAATTCTGGGCCTAAAAAATTTTCATTTTTTTTTGGCCTAGGGCACCCGCCCCACCTGCCCCCCCCAGGGCCGCCCCTGGGTATATGTACAAATATTGGTCCCATTTGGATAATAGCGTTTTATTGGAAACGCTGAATTGTTTTAACTACAAAACGCTGCAAAATGCAGGGTATAGTATAGCACCAACCCGCTGGAAAACAAACAAGACCATTAGCTCTATATGAAAATGATCTTATCATGCATGCTTAAACTAGCTTTAAAACATCATTTAAATTGTTTATTTTTTTGTGGAGCTAATTCAGATCGATGTTGTTTTCCATATTCAAGACTAATAGGGTTTGAGTAATGTTTGCTTTATTTGTAAATAAATATAATTATATGACCAGAGATGAATCCAATAAGAATGGGAGAAGCAAAGCAGTGCTTAGGTACGAAGGGGAAATGTTTTGTTGAACATATATGCGACCAAGGATGCAAGAGTCGTGGCTTTTCTCGAGGTGCTTGCGAACAGTGGATCTTACAATGTTGTTGCTATGAATGAAATTAAAGGCTGATCTTGAGCTGGTGAAATCAAAGATTGTTAATCAATAAAATAAACCTCAATGAAATTATATATTTCTATGCAAGTACAATAAAGAATATTCCATCAGTAATTAATGTTATTCCTCGGTGGTCGGTATTATAAAATAGAGGAAATTAGTAAGAGTATGATCAAAAGAGGTGGTGAATCCTAATAAAAAATGACTAGATAATGTGTTGTTTTACATGTATGGTATGTATTTTGATCCTACATTTTCTCTTTAATTCAATTATTACTCATATATTGGGAATCTATGAATGTTTTAGTCATATTAATGTAATTAAATTACCCTTAAAGGGTCAAGTATATACTTCAATTTTATAAATTCATTAATTCACCACCTCAATCACAAAAAAGCTAACCTGAATCAGTTAATATGATAGGTTAGTAATGATACAAATAATAAATAAATAAATAAATAAATAAATAAATAAATAAATAAATAAATAAATAAATAAATAAATAAATAAATAAATAAATAAATAAATAAATAAATAAATAAATAAATAAATAAATAAATAAATAAATAAATAAATAAATAAATAAATAAATAAATAAATAAATAAATAAATAAATAAATAAATAAATAAATAAATAAATAAATAAATAAATAAATAAATAAATAAATAAATAAATAAATAAATAAATAAATAAATAAATAAATAAATAAATAAATAAATAAATAAATAAATAAATAAATAAATAAATAAATAAATAAATAAATAAATAAATAAATAAATAAATAAATAAATAAATAAATAAATAAATAAATAAATAAATAAATAAATAAATAAATAAATAAATAAATAAATAAATAAATAAATAAATAAATAAATAAATAAATAAATAAATAAATAAATAAATAAATAAATAAATAAATAAATAGTCATGGCATCATCATAACTGCAGTGGGGTAAAACGAGACAGCTGAAATCAGGGGAGGATCTATGTTAGGGCTATGGTGGGCTGAAGCCCAGGGCAAAGTAAAAAAAATTAAATTTTTTTAAGGTATTTTTTTAAAATTTTCCATCCAGCCTACCCCAAATTTTCTATAGCCCAATCCAATTTTCAGCTTAGCCCGTAAAAAAAAATCTTACCATCTAATCTAAATGTTATACGCATCATGGCCGGCCCGGCCCAGGGGAGGGCACTTAGTGCAATTGTAGGAATTAGTGATCTACAAAGTGTTCAAAGAATAGAAGTTGAACGTATGTTGGCAATAAGAGAGCGTGTATCTGGAAGTGGAGCCAATCAAATTGGTAATTTACAAAGTGTTGGAGCAACGCGTTGGAGTTCCCATTATGATTCAATTAAAAACCTGATTGACATGTTACAACAACTTGCAAAGTGTTTGAGTATCTTCAAGAATATTGCCCAAAAAGCGAGTTCTCAGGTAGAAGTTCATGGTGTATATAGACACTTTGCATGTTTGGATTTTGGGTCCTGTTTACTTTTAATGCACAAAGTTATAGGAATAACGAGTATTCTCTGTCAAGGGATTCAAAAAAATCATTGGATATCTTGATAGCTATAAGACATTTTCTACTACACAACTCATTCTCGGGGAATTGAGAGAAAATGGATGGAAAGACTTTCTTGAAGAAGTAAAAGAGTTTTGCTCCAAACACAAAATTCATGTACCAGAGCTGAATTCTAAATATATGGTTGGTCGTTGCTGAAAATAAACTACAGTTGAGCATCACTATCACTTTGATGTTTTCAACGAGGCAATAGACTTTGTATTGATGGAGTTAAGGACCCAGTTTAATGATAAATCATTAGAACTCCTTTTTTGAGTGCTTCATTGGATCTAAAAAAAATTCGAATGAGTCATTCAACGTCGATGCTAATTGTACTCTTGCAAGGAATTGAAGCTCTATCTCGAAAATTTTAGTAGTGAGGATATTCTTGCTTTGGAATTCGAGCTGCAACACTATGTTCATGATGTGATTCCTGATACAAAGTTTCGAATATCTACACTTGTTGAATAATGTGAGGAGTTGACTAAGAGTAGAAGATCTGATTCATATGTTATGATGAGCAGATTGATTCGCTTTGTTTCTACTGCAAAGCATAACGATCATTTTCTGCCATGAAACTTCTAAAAACAACACTCCGCGACAAAATGACAGATGACTTTCTTGGACACTTTATATTGTATAGATGTAGACTCTATTGTTGTTGAGTTTTGTTTCAAAGCCTACTCGGGGACAATTTTAGTGAGAACTCTTATATTTGATTTTTTGTTTATTTTGAAAATTGTCAATGTATTATCATTTTAGTGTTTCAGCCCACCCCTACATGAAATCCTGGATCCGCCCCTGGCTGAAATATAGGGTCATTTTTCCATTTGTGCCTGTTATCCTTGCGCAGGGCCATGCAAATCTCTCTGTATCGTTCTAATTTTATCGGTTTTCCCCGAAGTATATTAGTCATTATTAACCCGACAAATTAAAGACAGTTTGCGACCTATATTTGTGTTTTGCGGGAAATATAATTAACTTTTTCATATCATTTGCATCAATCTCCAAAAAACAACGATGTTGAGAGCGATGATGGCACATTCTTCTAAGCTAATTGCTTCTGTAATGCTTATATTTATGCTAATTTCTTCCTCGGGTGAGTAATTTGTTTAATCGGTCTTCGAATTTCTTTATTTTAGGAGTATGTATGAACTCGCGCATGTGTGCGATGGTTATTCATAGGTAGATTAGTGTTTGCATTTCATATTTATTTAAAATTAAGTATGCATTGAAGATGCTATCAGAATTCTCGTTTTTATAGTTGTATTTAACTTCTGCTTATTTTGTAATTGAAGAATTCGATCTCATTTTGTAGTTTTTCTAATTCAATGCAATAGCAATTTGCCAATTTGCAAATTCCTCAAAATAAGAGTAAGACACGAATAAAATTGATAACTAAAAGAAGAAAACAATAAATATTCCTATGAAAAGAATGATGGTGCTATTTGAGAAACTTGGAAACTCCGTCCCATTTTACCTTTATACTTTCCCTTTTATTAGGTTATTCCAAAGTAAGTGTAACATTTTTTTTAAAAGAAATATGTGATTTACATCATTTCCTTTTATCAGTTATTGCATTCAAAACTCAACTATAGCTTCTATTTTTTCAATCACTTTATTAATAATTGTGGCCAACCAAAATAAGACAAATAAAACCGGACAATACTTTTTAATCCTACTATTTAAAAAAATTCTCTAAAAAGTAAATATTTCTTTTGTATTAAAACACTCCTCTGTAAAGTGTTGTTATATCATCAATGCTATGAAAGGCTGGTTATAACAATTATAATAATTATTTTATTATTTTAAATAGAAGTATCAGCAGAGATGGGTCCAATAAAAATGGGAGAAGCCAAGAAATGCTTTGGCAAATTTGGAGGATGTTGGGGTGAAGCTGCATGTGCTGCTGCCTGCGAAACTCAGGGATATGCAAGTGGCAAATGTACTGGCTTCTCCAGAAAATGTTGCTGCGAGTAAAGATATACTCCCTCCGTAACATATATATGTTCCCATTTGAAAAGTAGGTAGATTAAGAATAGTGAAAGAGGATATAAATTATTGAGGGTATGATGGGAAGATAATGAAATAATGTGATGGAATAAAGGATAAATCCAAAAAAAGTAGGTGTAATAGTGTATTATTTTTAAAATTATTGATGGTATGATGGGAAAATTTAGAAATGGGAAGATATGAATGTTACATCCAAAAAAGAAAAGTGGGAAGATATGAATGTTACGGAGGAAGTATAGAAGAGCACTAAGACCATTTGGAGAGGTGTGGAGTCCAAAATGTCAAAATGGACTTGGTACAAATGAAAACATTATTTTGACTCATATTTCTTACATCCCAGCACCGTCAATAAAATGCACTCTGCGTTTTTTTACAAATCAATTTAGTAAAACATTAATTAAATTATTATACGTAATATTTTCCTTTTAATTCCCCCTGAATAATTACAAAATAAAAAAATACACATTTCGATGTAAAAATAAATAAATTTCATTAATTTTGTTTTATATTTTTCGATTAACAAAAATGAACTTAGTTCAAGTAAAGTTCGATTATGGAATATTAAGTTATTTTTGAAGTTCTATGAATTAAAAATTTGTGTTTCGTGTGATTTTGAGCTCAAGAAAACTTTAACAATTAAATCTTCAGATTTTTTTTCATTATTATATATTACATATTGGTTTCATTTGAAAGATCATAAAAATTAATAAATTTTGATATGTTTTAAGAAACAATTGGATAAAAAATAAAAAAGTTATAAGGGTTATAAAAAAATTATGATTTAATACATAAACCTATGACATCAACCCATTATCTTTCTCCCTATTTTTCCTTCTGCGCAATGCAGCTCCTCCGGCCCCACTCTCTTTCTTATTCTCTTTTTCCTTTTTTTGGGTGTCAATCCTTCTTCCAAATTTAGAAGGCTAAAGGGTCAAATAGGTACATGAACTAACATAAAGTGTTCAATTAGTCTCTTCTATAGGAGGTTCTGTTCGGCCGTCACCAATTGGGGCTGTTCCCGGTGGAATTTTTTAATGAAATTTTTTGAGCATCTTCTTCATTAAGTCTAGTTTACCCATATCAAATTTCAGCTAAAAATTAAATCGGGAAGACAGTCAAATGATTTTCCGAAATGTACTGCGCTGTTTAACTGCGCAGTTATCTTCAAAAAAACATTTGACTGCCTTTCTGGTTGACGTTTTAGCTGAAATTTGGTATGGGTAAACTAGACTTAATGAAGAAGATGCTAAAAAAATTCATCAAAAAATTCCACCGGGAACCACCCCAATTGGCGACGGCCGGGCAGAACCTTCTATATAAGGGGCTAATTGAATACTTTAAGTTAGTTCATGTAACTATTTGATCCTTTAGCCAATTTAGAACCCTCCATCTACTTACCCATTTTTACTGCCCTCTTTAGCCCACCAATGTATGGAATTAGGAGTCCAAAAATGTCATCTTTAACATTTTGGACTCCTAATACCTCACCACTCCAACTAGTCTAATAAGCTAATTACTGTCATTTAACACAAAACATAATTTGTTTATTTAATTTCTTAATTTCATTCTTTAGTAATACATACTATGTAATTATGTAGTGCAAACATTTCTTATCTTTTTCAAAGGTGTACAACTGTATATAACAGATTAACAGGTGTGCAAATTAAAACCGTATTACTTTTCCATAAAATTTGGGTTTTGTTCATCAATCTTATTCTTTTGTTTTATTGTGTTATACTAATTTTATATGGAGTCTGAGGAGTGATGTGAGTTTTCTTGCACTTAAAAATGTAGTAATATAGTGGTGAAAAGTACGAGTATCGTCTTCACAGGGACTGAAAAAAGGAATCAAGAACTAACTAAGTTCAGCGATATAAAAAGAAATAAAATAAAATAAAATGCAATTGTGCAGTGTGAGATTTATTGGTTTGGAAAATTAAACTAATGCGAATGAGAGTTGAAATAAAAAGATTGGTTTTCTTCTCAATTAACGACGAAAGGAACAGGGATTGATTTCGGGGTAACCAAATTTCTGGCAAATCGGGCCTAATTACATGAAATTGATTTAATTGAGTCTAGTTAATCATTACTAAGTTCTTATTGCTCTCGCGGCGTAGAGTACAACAATTTAGGGGACCAGACTGATCTTTCATGCGACAGGATCCTAAATTATTGCCAAGACGAGCGAGCTTATGGCCCCTTAATCGCTACTAATCTCTTAGCGAGCGATTAAGTGTGTGTGAATGTGTCCTAGAACAAATTAGATCTCTCTTGATTCATTCTACATGCAATTGTAATTCTAGCTGCAGCCTAGGTTACAAGAGATATCAGTTAAATTGTAATTCATACACAAATGAAAAGACATTCATGCAATTAAACCATCAAGAATCTAGCCATACATCATGATCAACCTCTTCATCAACCCCAAATCCTTAATTAAACCACTCACAATTCATAATTGAAGAATCAACAGAATTGAGATGAATAGAAATAATTTTCATTAGTTAAAAAGATGAACTTACAAATTATCTCAGGGTCTTGGAGTAAACAATGATAAAAATGCAAGTAAAGTCGCCCCTAGGCCTCTCCGTAATGTTCGTAACCCCAAAATAGGATAAGAGAGGCCTTATTTGTAGAAAAAGGGTAAAATTCGGGCTGGATTAGGACAAATCGGGGCACGCTTGGCGAGCGTGGCGTCCGAGCGTCCGGAGCAACAGCGCGTTCCGCGGGCACGCTCGGCGAGCGTCCGGAGCAACAGCGCGTTCCGCGGGCACGCTCGGCGAGCGTCCCTGTACGCTCGGCCAAGCGTGGAAGGCAGCGCGGCTCGGAACATATTTCTTCATCAGGCACGGCGTGCCTATCTGCCAGGCACGACCGTGCCTGCTCTTTTTCGCCTCTTTTTCATCGTTTCTTGCTTCAAACTCTCCCGAATGCTTCCGTGATCAAGTCAAAGGTCTTCTTTTCATCAAATCTTCATCATGAACCCCCCGGAGACCTCCAAAACTCTCAAATCTTTCTCGAACATTCTCCAACTCTTCTTGATTGCTTCTCAAGCACCGGTGTCGGACTCTAATTTCCTGATTTTGATTCCAAACAATACAAAACTCGAACCAACGCCTGGTAAACACAACTTGAGCTAAAATTGAGACTTGCAACACCTTAAAGCTAGGAAAACCATCAAAATCCGACCCCAACACGCATCAAATTTGTGTTGTAATACGAACTCATCAGATTCCCCTACACTTAAGTTTTTGCTTGTCCTCAAGCAAATCGAACAACGGGTCTTACGATAATCACCACACGGAATTAAAATAATTAGCATGCACACGTAGTTAAAGAGATATTCATAGAACAGACAGTCTAAACCAAGAAAAATCTACCCTAAACTACATCTTTGTACTCTAGCTAAACTATTTGACAAATTTATTCACAATATCCTCAAAGTAGTGACATCGTTCATAAATAAACTAGCTACCGATCAAAAGAACTTGTGAAGGCGGTGGTGAATGGTCAATGGTAACGATAAACAGTCCCTTTCTTGAGAGTTTGGAACATCCTAACAAAGACTTAATGCATTTAGGAATTTCGGGGCTATTCTTAGGATCAAGGAATTCAGTAGGTCACATATTAGGAAAAACCATTTAAACATTTTCAAAGAGTAGACATGGTGTACAACTAAGCTAAACCGTCGCGGCACATTTTTGCTTTGACGTACACTTGAAGTACGCAAACGACTAAAGCTAATTTTGCAATATATAGCCTTCAAGTTCATTTAATTAAGTTTAGTTTTCCTTGTCATGTTGGCACGAGAACGCCATTTCTTTCGAAAGATATCCAAGTCTCATCTTACGTTTTTTGACCGGGGCTCCCATTCTCTTTTTCGCAAGATAAGAGGTCTAGCTATAATAATTTTTCACATTTCGGATTTTTATTAGACATTACACATTCTGATCTCGGCCTCACCAAGGAAAAATAGCAATTAAAGTTCATTTATTTCAATGTGAATCCATGCATACAATGCAATTCTCGGAAGTATCAAATTCCTAAAAAGTGACTGGTCTTACCCCATTTGGGGCATAGGAACAGTGCCAAAAATGGCTCCTACACAAATTCCCTAAACTTAGCAAATTAATCCTTTAGTTCCCTAAACACCAAGATTATGTTAGAAATATTCACATGTAAGGAAAACATGTCATTTTGCTATAGAGCTCAATTAATTGGGTAAGGAATAAATGGTCAGACTCAAAGTGGCTTCTCCTAAAGGATTTTATTCGGGTGGATGATTAATGGAATAATTCAATGGGTGACTAATGCCTTCATCCTTTCAACAACTTGATTATAGTGCAAGCAATTTAAGCCTAAACACTTCGAAGATGTTCTAAAAGCATAGTCAAAACGCTAGCAAGCTCACAAAGACACTGTTTAAAGAAAAACTTTCAAAAAATTTGACATGACTTTTCTATGAATACAACTAGCACCTGCGCATGCTAACTTTAATAATCATATGTAACAACTACTGCCTGAATGCCCAATTCACTCCCCCAAACTTAAAGTTTGGCATCGCCCTCGATGACCAAATATGCTTTATGCACAAGGGGGGGAAAGATGATAAGGTCACGCGTGCTCAGCTTAACTCAAGTCAAACGTTACAAACACGCGAGTAAGAATGATCATGAAAACTTCCCTAGCGACGCTGGTCGGTGCAGAATCGTATTGAGTCATTGTGAATCATGGCGCATCATCCAAAAAGAACACATTCATGCTGCAAAACAAACATTCAAACGAAACAAGACATCCACAAAATAGAGTACAGAGTGCTTGATGAGCGATTGTGAGATTCTATTTTGTTTCTACAGCTGACTCAGTAATGAAGGGAAGACGATGCTTGATGTTTTGGGTGGCGGAGCTTTTCCTCACTTACCGTCTCAGGTGGGGGAAGCACTAGTGGAGAAGATTTTTCGAATAATGCATCATTGTACAACTCTCGGGACACACCTCACCAGAAGGCCTCGGGCCTGTATGAGCTTAGCGACAATTCTGCCCTTTCTGCAAGGGTAGATACTTTGGCCAGCATGTTTCAAAAGCTCACTACTAGCGTGGAGGATATTGGAAAAAGATGGAACTTGCTCTCTCAGTACCCAGTGTTGTAACACTTCAGATTTAATATAAATGGATTAATAGTACTACTCATACCAATAGAGGTGCATCTCCTTTTAAGGGAGCTCATCACCCAAGAACTCCAAAGTTAAGCGTGCTTGCACGGGAGTAGTCTTGGGATGGATGATCCCCTGGGAAGTTTCTCAGGGCGCGCATGAGTGAGGACAAAGTGCGCGGAAAAGG